AATAGGAATAACGAATAGAAATACGTGCAATGCTTGTTTGTTTCTCTCTCGTGTTTACTTTAGAAATCCCATGTTATTTTCTTCTCTCTCTCCCCTTTTTATTTATTTATATATTTTTACAAGAGCTTAGCACTGTCGATACCCCAGTGAGTAAAATACATCAAATAATAAATGAGACCTAATTAACCATGTGGTAGACGGAAATATAACGTGGCACGGTGGCACCATTTAAGCATTATTGGTTGTCACATCAGCAAAAAAATAAAATAAAAAATCTCTTTGGTCATTTTTTGATCAACCTCGAACAACAATGCTCGAAATTGTTTCCAATCATCTTGAGAGTTTTTCCCAAGTGTCATCGTTAGGCTTAATTGCAGCACGTGGCAATTCCACGTAATCTCGAATTTTTACCTTTGTCCCCTTACTTATGCTTCAAGTATCTTAATCATATTAAGAGTGTGCTACTTACCTCTATAAATATAGGTTCTAATTCATTATTCGGAGGGGCGACGATGACACATCTTGTCGCCTTTACTTCAGGTAGAGATTTTGTTTGTAATCATCATTAATCATCAAGCTCGAGAATCAACCGGTGATGATTTTTGATAACATCACTCTTCATATTCTTCAAAACTTGGCTCGTCGTGCACGAACAACTACCTTTCTTTAATGTCTCAACTCCCCCTCCAACACAATCACCGTCGCCTGCTCACCGTAAAAGACCTATCAAGATATCGACAACATTGCATGATATGAAATTGTTTTTGCTAACATCTGTCCCAAGTTTTGTTTTTGGACTTGTTCTTCGCATTGTTCAATGCAACAATGAATAGTTGCATTCTTTAATAGAACTATCTTTTTATTTAACTCTTTTTACTTTTCAAAAGGAATTGGGATGAAAGAAAAAGGAAAAAATATTTATCAAAACCGAGCTATTAAAAGCAGCTGCGCTATAAATATTCTCCCACCTTTTTCTTAAGTTTGTAACTTGTTTTGCATCATGTGGACCACTTTGTATTCAATTATCTAATTTGGTTAAGTGCCAAATAGTAACTTCAAAGATTCCATTATGATTTCGGGAATTTAGGGTGTGGTTGAGCCACATTATTTTGAAAGAATGTATTCTGAAATAGTAGATTGATGGAGAATTTGTGGTTGAAAAAAAAAGGAAAAGTTATTGATGTGATGAAAATTTTTATTTTATTCAAGAATGTGTGGTTAAAAATGAGTAGAAGAATAAGAAAGAAAATTTTAATGTATACCAAACAGGAGTTTAATCTATCACATTTATAGCTATAGTATTATTATATACTTATTATCGACATGTTTCATAGATTTACCACTTTTTCATCGTAAGGAGTCGAGGAGATTATAAGTTTATCCAAGGCATGAAAGAATATTTTTTCTTTTTATTTATTATTGAATACAGTCATTTTAATTTTGGTTTATAATATTCATAGCATGTGTTTACTTATAATTAAATAATGAGGATTAGAAACTCCTTGGAAGAGAATTAAAAGAAAAAATCAAACTACGTAAAATTAAGCTTCTGTTTGAGCTTCATTATCTAAAAACTTTTTTTTTTTTTAAATTCATTTTCAATCACTCATTTTCTCGATAAAATAATTTTGCTAGCTCCAATCCTTCAATTTTCTGACTAGAACAAGGAGTTCAGTGTTAATACGTACGTCTAAACTTTTTTTTATTTTTTAATCATACATTTTAAAAAAAAAAATTCCTATTACAAAACTCATTTTTCACAANAAAAAAAAAAAAAAAAAAAAAAAAAAAAAAAAAAAAAAAAAAAAAAAAAAACTCAAAACATAATCTAAGCCCTTGTTTGGTTTACATTATTTTTAAAATACATTTTTCTTTCTCTTATTTTCATTCATACTTCTTTAATAAAATAATATTATACTTAAATTCAAAACTATTCATCATTTTTTAACCACATAATATTCATCAAATCACTAATTCAAAATGTATTTTTGGTTAAAAAATGAGAGTAAAACATGCTCTAAATAAGAATTAAGATTGTGTTTGGTAGGAATTTTTGGGGGAAGAATTGATTTTTGAATAGTAATATGATGGGAAATGTGTGGTTGAAAAAGAAGAAAAAAGTATTGATGTGATGGAAAATATTATTTTATTGAAAAATGTGTGGTTGAAAATGAGAATTGATTTACTGTAGAAAATGAGAATCTGTACCAACTCTAAGAACTTGTTTGGGAGAGATTTTTGGGGGAAGAATTGATTTTGAATAGTGATATGATGGGAAATGTGTGGTTGAAAAAAAAAAAAAATTATTGATGTGAAGAATGTATGGTTGAAAATGAGAATTGATTTACTGTAGAAAAATATACTCCCTCCCAAACAGGGCCTAAGTAATGTACTTATAATTGTAAGTATCTACTTATAATGCATAATGACTTTTTAGGTCGTCTACTGACCAAACCGCCCACGTGAATGACACGGAATACATGGATTTCACCTCATTCCCGGCCCACCAAACACGTTATCAACAGTTTCTTCTTTTTCAGAACTAGTACATGCCATGCGCGTGGTTGCCTCGTAATTTCATTGACTTTACAGTTGGAGTACAGCATGTGATGCGCAATACATGTAGGGCATGTTTGCGAAATGTTGATTGGACATGTTAAAAGGGGAAATTGTTTAGGTTTGCACATAGGATAACTTGGGAAAAAGGGTGTGTCTGTATACAAATAAATTTATTTATTATTATTATTTTTTAAAGAATAATGCTATTCATCTTCACTTGGAATACAAATATAGTATACGTGGCGTTAATGTGACATTAAATGATATGTAAAATTAAATAAGTTATTTAATTTCACATTTTATTTAACCTATCATTTAAAACTATCGAAATTGTGTTTGTAACTCCACTGGAGATGAATAATATTACTTTTTTTTTTTTAAATGGGTCTTGGGGGAGGAAATTGACTTTAGCCCAGACTTGCCCCCTCCCCTACGCCCGTTCAAGTGGGATTGAATCCCAATGACTTGCACTTATAGGACGTCAATTGATTGAGTTTTTCGATAATGTTACACCATCACTATGAGGGATATACATAACTCAAATGTAATCATAAGATTTTATTAAACAATTGAGCATCACAATTGACTACATGATAGTTAAAGTGACTCGTCAACTAAAGATATTGAACTGACTATAAAAACTAGCAACACGGTACAGCAAATGAATGTTCAATGTCTTTTTAGACTTCAACTTTGACTATATGAGCTAGTGACGAGTTGAGTCGTCAAATACTCATTCACATGCGTGAAATCGAACTTACTAATCTAATCTTATTTTGCGGATGATCATGGAGAAGCATATTCATCCCCTTAATGGAAGGATTCAATAGAATTTTGACATCAATATGCTCAAAAACTATGTAAAAATACTCGCAGAAGGTTGTCAACACATGCAATATAAAGTACAAAAAATTTGGTAATATTAGAGTAATATCTTGTTATTTTTTTAAATCATTTTCATCAAATATGTCATAAAGACATTTAAATGAATCTAACGTAATTGGTTCAAACTTAGTTAATATTACATATATTTTTTGAAAAATATTTTCAACATAACTTATCCATTCCTTATGTCTTATCAATCAGTAATTTATAAAAGTGCATTCAAAATTTCATCGCTTTTTATTATAAAAGTGATTACGAAAGGGTTTTAAGCTATGTTTTCTCTTAGTTGAATTTATTTATAATTTAAATTTCACTAGTTTTTCGACGCTCTAATTAAATAAGAAGACGTATGTTAGACCGACCATCAAAAATAACAAGAAAGACCCGTTTTGTATTTCTAAAATGTCGTTACTCTGAAAAAGAGCAAACAAAAGCACGTTTTTTGTGTTTCCACCATGTTAGAAATCAAGGCGTCGAATTTGACCTTCCAAACAAGCCTTTCATCTTTGACGCTTGGTAGTGAGTCTTCTAGAGAGGTCAATCATCAGAGCGCAGGTTCGGTCAATTCCCAAGCCTGACATACCGCGTCCGCAGCACCTTCCTAGGCTCGGATCTTCCTGGCCTATAAAGGCTTCTGCCTTTTTCCTAAATGCGTCATTCATCTTTACGTGTTCGACTGCGCCGAAGATCAAATATTTTACGATAAGATTTTTATTCCGTGGACTCAGCATACAGCACTTCGGTGAATTCTTGTTTTAATACTTTTTCTTGGTTATGAATTTCATTTCTTATTTTGTGAAATGTGAAGATTATGAGGGTGAAATTTCACGTTTTTCCCCCCAAATGTGAGCGTGTGAGCTGTAAACGAATTGAATTTCTTAATTCTTTGAAATCTTAACGAGTTTTGAGGTTAACAGAAACCCTCTTAGTAGTTGTATGGTGATTATTGTTTTCATAGTTAAGTAATGTTAGATTAATCATCTGATAAATTTCATATGAGTTAAAGAATGATAGATTAAGTTGTTTCAATTTAATTATGTAAACTTTGTAAGTTCAGCTAGCTGATCTACTGTATATTGTTCTTAGTAGTTGATTTTTGTTTAAAATATTATGTGCTTTCACTAAGGATACTGATGAATGGCAGAAAATAAGAAAGAAATAGGTTACTTTCAGTACTTTTTAATTAATAGTACATCAGATTACAATAAATTTTCAAATATAGAAGTTGACTTGTGATATCGTGTATAATCATTTGCGGAAGATGCTTTTCCAGCGAGGAAGATGAATTAAAAGAGTGGAAAATGATTTTGATTAGTATTTGTTCATTTTTCTAAATTTGATTTTTATGTAGGATGATAAAAGAAATTAGTAAGGGAATATTAAGTTTTTGTTTTGAATTTAATTATTAACTTTGGGTGACAGAACAAGAAGAGAGAACTAATATTATATGTTCCTTTAGAATGTTGTTTTTTGTAGTTAAAATTCAATATTCGAAGTCAAGTGTTAAAAGATATTTAGTTCTGTTACAGGTTATTTTGATTTGAAGAACAAACAACATGGCTTTAGTATCTGGAGGAAGATCGACACTTAATCCGAATGCTCCTCTTTTCATCCCAGCATCACTGCGCCAAGTGGAGGACTTCTCACCAGAATGGTGGAATCTAGTTACTACCTCGACTTGGTTTCGCAATTACTGGCTCAGCGAGTACCAGGGAGAAGATATATTCGGCATGGAGGATGATGGTTTTGAGGGCAATGATGTAGCTAAATTGCTCCCTGATAACATTGACCTTGTTGTGGATGATGATACGCTGTACATGGAAGCCCAGTTCGAGGAATTTCTCCAATCATCCGAGCCTGAATATGGAAGCAACGCGGTTGAGGGAAAACCTGAAAATGGTATGCTCCTTTTTTTCTGATTTTGATTGATAATGGATTTGCCGTTTTCTCTTGTTAATGTTGTTCAAAATGGGATATAGTGCATTTGCCAATTCCTTTGAGTAGAAGGGGAATTGATTGTGATCATGAATTATGTTCAGTTTTACAGATGTCAATCGCATCATGTCTGTGGAGTTTGTTGAATCTTCATAATTGGGGGGGCATAGAACACTTTAATCCCATGAAGGGAAAGGCATAAAACTTGAACCAGTTGATGGCTCTTCATTATCTTTATCAGAATAAGCCAATGTAAAGCCAAATATCAAATCCATCCAGAGTAACAGAAGATAATCAAGTTGCATTGATGGAAATAGAATTGTCATTAGAAATAAGAGAACACAATTTCTTAAATTTGTAGCAATAAAAATTATGTTTTGAAGAACTTGATTGGGGGTTAATATGACATTGCACTTCTTCTTTGCTTTGACATGCAACTCATGCATTGCCATACTCATTGATCGTTAAATTGGTATCGATCATCAGGTTTGAACAAGAATGCTGGGGCACTTAACAAGAATCTGGCGGTGTCAAATGATAGAGGTTCCAAGTTCCTTGGGGAGCCGGCATTGCGCTGAACTATAGATTGCTGGCTCTTGGTTTGCAGATGGGCCAAGGAATGGCAGTCTTTTTTTCTTGTAGCTTTATGTATATAGCAAGGTTTCTTGGTTATATACCGTAGCCCTTTGTTTAGTTTAGCAACGGGAAAAATAAAAAAACATGTGGCACAAATGAAGGAAGATTGAAAATTTAAATGAAAATGGAAAAGTTGTTTTAGTCAAATTAATCTCTCCCATCTTTGAAATTTATCTCTTATCGTGACCAATAGCGGCAATGATGAACTAAACTTGTTCTCCATGAATTTGGAGTCGGGTAAATTGATTGAGCTTCGAGTATAGTCTGGTTCCAGGGTGCATGAGATATATCGAGGTCGCCCAAGAATGCTCATATGTCCTTGGACTCAAGTTCGCTTCACCTTTTAAGCACATTCCAGATGCTTTGACTTCTCTCTCCCCACATTCCCAATTAAGAAACTCGGTTTGCACCAACAGGTTAGATAGTATCTGCAAAAAAAGATTATAAAATAAGTGACATTCCAGTTAAATGATGAATAGTATCTGTGTCTCGTTTAAGATAAGGGGTCGACAGTATAACTCTCACAAATGCATATTATAATTTTTATTTTATTTTATTTTATTTTATTTTATTTTTACGCGGCTTCTCGTGTTGGGCACTAATCTGTGTTGACTAAAGTAGCTTTAAGCTAGTTTAGTAGGGTTGAATTTGTAATTTTCTTTCAAATAATAGATCTTATCAGAGTTTCAAAAGCAAAGACAACTTTCTCAAATGTGTTATGATTTTCCATTTTCCCTTCGTTGGCTACTCTTTTCCCTGGAAAATTGCTGCAGAGAGTGAATTAATGGCCTATTTTATTCTGAGGACAGTGACTAAAATCATATATTTTTATTGTGGTTTGACCAAAATTTTCAATTGTATGGAATGATTTGTAGTTAAAAGTTCTTTGGTACTTGCAATTCATTAGATATTTTCTTAACTTTTTATGCTTTTACGTAGGGGTATCAATTTGACTTATCGGTCCGGACGACCCGTGACTCAGTAAAATCGAACCGAGGCTCTGCCCGAGCCCCATTTTGGGGCGTCGGCTCGAGCAGGCTATTTTCGGCCAGTAACGAGCCGAGTCTAAATAAAATAAAATAATCTATAAAACTTTAAAATATATATTTAGCTACCTTAACATGACAAATATCGGCTCGACTTGAGCCAAAAAAAGTTCGAATCATTTTTACTCGAGCCAAGCTTGAGTTCCAAGTTGAGCCGACTTGGTTCGTTGACATCTCTATGCTTATGCCACTTTGTATATCCTAAGACAATTATGTTTTGTGTACACCATGATTTACACTCTGTCACATGGCAAAGTGTCATTTGATAGTTTTTTTTTCTTCCATCTAATCACTTTTTTACAAAAAAAAAAAAGGCAAATATCATCAATAATGCCATCCTTAAAATCTACAAATGGCAAAATCCATCTTAAGAATGGCATCAATTTCATATTTGACAAGAAAAGATACGTAGATTCAGTAATATATCTTAGGATTAACATTTAGATATATAATTGATTTGAGTCTTTGGTTCATTTTGTCGTGAGCGTCATGACCTTAGCCTTTTCAACTAGATCTCGTGTAGCATAGATCATATCTAGTAGCGTAAATTTATTGAAAATTTTAAATTTTAGCTCATTCAACGCTTTTTTCTAGCTATTCACATGTAATATTAGACTTTTATGTCAAGTCGATAGTGCCATCTAACAGAATGTATTACTACTTGGCCCGTCTATCACCTAGTTAACTATGTCCTACAATGTAATAAAGATTCTTGAGAATTTTAGGGGTTGTTCTCTTCGTGTTTCGGTTTTTAGTTTTTAGTTTTGAATTCATTTTTGATTTTGTATTTTGAGTGTCCATTTTGAGATTGCTGAAAACATATTCTTTTTGTCTGTTGAAAAACTATTTTTTTTTTTAAAAAATGAAGTTTTTGCTTGGTTTTAACTGAAAACAGTTAAAACGACTTTTTTGACGTTTTCCGTTTTCTTTGTAAATTTTAAACTCGTTTTCTGAAATTCGTTTCTGAAAATAGGTAAGTAAACGTGTTTTTTTGTATTTTTGAAAATTGAAAACTGAAAATGGCCTAAAAACAGCAAAGAGAACAGACTCTTAACCTTCCGGATGTAATCTTATCTTTAGAAATAGGGTCCTATGGAGATGTTTATTTGGGCAGGCTGTGTTTGTAGGCCATTCAACATGGATTGGACCGGTGATGCAGCCCCTACAAGAAGCTGTGGCTCAAATATTTCTCTTTTGTGATCCATTGAAACATGACAAAAGAGAAAAATCAAATAGAAAGACAAAGGAGGGTATGTGATGTAGTCATTAATACAAGACAATTTGAAAATGTGTTTGAAATATTAGTTGATTTTTAGCCAACTTAACATGATGTTTTAGTAGGATTCTTGCTTAATCAGTGATTAATATTATATTATTAAAACATATGTTTGAGTGATGTCTTCTGCGTGTCAATTCATTCAATTTATTACATGTATTGAAAAATCCAATATAGCTATGTCTTTGGTAGCTATATTTTTCTTTTTTTAATATGTTTTATTTTGATGAGATTGCATCATTCTTATAAACGGAAGTTTCTATAACAGATTGGTACTTCACATTTTATAATGACAAAATTGATCCTCAACAATTTATATATTTGTACAATCAGCAGCAAATCACTCACAGAATTAACCTCAATTCGAGTTTTCATACTTCAGTCCAAGTAAAGTTAAACAAAGAAGAACCAAAATTGATTTGTAGTTCAAGTTCTTTGAGACTTGTGATTCATTAAATATTTTCTTAATTTTTTTTATGCTTTTACGTAGGGGTGTCAATTTGACTCGTCGGTCCAGACGACCCGTGACTCAGTAAAATTGAACCAAGGCCTTGCGCGAGCCCCATTTTTGGGGCATTGGCTAGAGCGGGCTATTTTCGGCCCGTAACGAGTCGAGTCTAAAAAAAATCTATAAACTTTAAAATATAAATTTAGCTACCTTAACAAGACAGCTGCCTGTTATAGGCAACTACTTTTGCCTTGTTATGGCAGCACATACAACTCCCTTAACAAGACAGTTAGAGTCGAAAGATCAGCTCGACTCGAGCAAAAAAAAGTTCGAATCATTTTTTATTCAAGCCAAACTCGAGTTCAAAGTTGAGCCGACTTGACTCGTTGACATCTATATGCTTATGCCACTTTGTATAGCTTAAGACAATTATGCTTGGTGTACACCAAAGTCTACACCATAGTTTGCACTTTGTCCATGGCAAAGTGTCGTTTGACAATTTTGTTTTATAAAAAAAGCAATCTTCCATATAATCACTTTTTTACAAAAAAAAAAAAATTGGCAAATATCATCTATAATGTCATCCTTACAATGTACAAATAACAAAATCCATCTTAAGAAGGGCATCAATTTCCTATTTGACAAGAGAAGCTACGAAGATTCAGTAAGATATCTTAGGATTGACGTTTAGATACGTAATTGATTGAGTGTTTGGTCCATTTTGTCATGAGCGTCACTACCTTAGCGTTTTCAACTAGATCTTGTGTAGCATAGATCATATCTTGTAGCGTGAATTTATAGAAAATTTTAAATTTAAGCTCATTCAACGCTTTTTTCTAGCTTCACACCTGTAATATTAGACTTTTATGACAAGTCGATAGTGCCATCTAACCGAATGTATTACTACTTGGCCCTTCTATCACCTAGTTAACTATGTCCTACAATGTACACAAAATCCCAGAATATAATTAAGATTCTTGACAATTTTAGCCTTTTGGATGTAATCTTATCTATACATATAGGGTCCTATGGAGATGTTTATTTGGGCAGGCTGTATTTGTAGGCCAATCAACATGGATTGGACTGGTGATGCAACCCCTACAAGAAGCTGTGGCTCAAATTTTTCTCTTTGCGATCCATTGAAACATGACAAAAGAGAAAAATCAAATAGAAAGACAAAGGAGGGTATTGTTATGTAGTCATTAATACAAGACAATTTGAAAATGTGTTTGAAATATTAGTTGATTTTTAGCCAACTTAACATGATGTTTTGGTAGGATTCTTGCTTAATCAATGATTAATATTCCATCATTAAGATATATGTTTTGAGTGATGTCTTCTGTGTGTCAATTCATTCAATTTATTACATGTATTGAAAAATCCAATATAGCTATGTCTTTTGTAGCTACAACAAGGTTACATTAGTTTTAATCTATATTTTTCTATTTT